TGCTGGGAATAGGGGTATATGAGTGGGCCTACATAAGCTACTTTAGCGCTGTTATCCACCACAGTTTATAATCTTGCGCGAAGGGGACCACAGCTGACGCGTCTTCGCCGCGTTCCCGCCCGCCCTCACGGGCGCCAAGGTATGTTACACTAATCTTCCCGCGTTGAATCTATCTTCCCTCTCCATCTGTGTTTTTGATGACGGAGTAGCCCCTCCCGGCCACGCTGCTCCGACTCCCGCTCCTCGCTGCCGGAATTGAGGCCAACCCTGCACCTTTTTGGTACTGCTCGTTCTGCCAAGTCCGCCTGGGTCCCCGCGACTGGTCTGTACGTTGCGGCTCCTGTAATTGTTGGTGCCATCCTCGCTGCAGTAGCCTAGCCAAATCTGCCGATTGGTCACTCGCCTTCACGTGTCCCAGTTGTCCTGTGCCTCCACCTGCTCCTACGCCCCCAGCCCTTCCTGTTCTCAACATAAATGCTACACCGCCTGGTCTTAAGATTCTAAAGTTGAACGCCAGCGGTCTACTTGGCAAGCTTGACCAGCTCCTTGCCTTCATGCGTTGGCTCAGCGTAAACGTAGCGGCTATCCAAGAGACAAATTGGACTACCTCCACCAAGGTACCCTCCTGTGCCGACTACACGATGGTCCGTCGCGACCGCGGTCGCAACAAAGGCGGAAGCTTGACCTTCTTAGTGGACAAATCCCTTGCCCATTATCAGCGCCCTTTGTTTGATGCCGACCCCACGGAAGTATTGGCAATGTCCCTCGACACTGGCCCGGTACCGCTAACCATTGTGAACATCTGCACATTTTCTCGAGCCTGACAACCATCTGGGGGATCCGATATCGAAAACTTACTGAATAAAATTTCCTAATTATCCCAGAGGACGTCTTTTCTTGAAATAAGATTTCTTGGGATGCCTGCCTTCTAGTTTATACGAAACATCTACATCCCTCCAATCTCCAGCTGTCCTCCCGGTTTTATCGCCTCCATTGTTCCCTACATACCTTCTGGAGACAGCTTGGTGTTAGGTGACTTCAATGCCCACCACGACCT